ATTCAATTTCCTACTCCTAGAGGCTGAAAAGGTGAGCTACTTTTGCTGCTACTAGGGTTTTTTGTTTACTCGCGCTCATAAGTGAATGAATTTTTTGCCTATCGTATTCGGTTATTAGCACCCACATTTACGCAATGACCCACATAGTATAGCTCCTCCGAACGCGCCACTGTCTTTCATTTTTCTGGTCCCATTCCCGTCCAGCCTCCTTTTGAACGGTTTTTCGAAGCCTTTTTTTACTTTGGAAACACCTATTCACGCAGTCTCTTACCTTCATCGCATTATTTTCGATCTTGTCTCCCATTTTTCATCACAATATGGATTACCCAAAATTACCATGAACTGTTCCTTTGAATGGGAACCTAGGGTCTGTCATTGAAAAATCTAGATTTGAAAAAGAGAATGGTAACATAAAAACTAGAAAATTTAATGTGGTATGGTCTGCAGCTTTCAATTATTTCATATGGACACAAGAACAGCCTAAAAGGGCGCAATACAGGCACAGAGACTTCGCCGACATCCACACCCAAAGATGTACTAGTTTTAAATGCTCGGTAGAATCTGCAACATTTGCAATGGAGCATAGATGTTGGGAATACGAACACCTCGTCGCAACAGTGGAGGGCAATTTTAGGCTTTTTATGATCAGTGTAGCTGGTTCAGTATGCAATTACAACGGCTGCAATCTCGTCTGATTACGCCTCTCATGTGCTTTGTAGACGAAAAAATCGCGTTGAATAAGTAAGATGGAACTCGTTCCTAAAGTCGGCTCTTGAAGAAATGAAGGGAGTGAGCCTGTAATCTCATAAGGCTTCAATTTCTTCACCTCTCATCTCGATCGACACCGCGTGCTTAACCGGGAGGTGAAGCATATTCATGAATCCCAGGTTCGCTCAGCCCAATAGGGTGAATATTTCTTGGTTGTCTCGGGGTTTTGAACTGCAGTCGGCCCACCTTTCCTCTGGCCGATAGGGCTCCATTTTTTGTTGCATACAGTGTTTTGATTGTTTCTTCTAAAACTAAGGGTCAAAAAAGACAAGCCACAAGCATCCAACCATTCATCCCCATGCTGGCTCACAGATTGCGCGCTACAATCAAACATCACATTTCTTTTATCCGCGATGAGTGGGGCGAGCGTGACACACCCTCCGGGGGAAGATCTCATACCCTGTTTTC